GGGAATAGGAAGCAATCATTCGAGAACTATGGTTAAGCGACAAAAAGGAGACACACGAACCATCAGCAGAAGGCGAAAAGCACGAGCTACAGGCTAGGGAGATGATCCCTGATTGACTCAAATGAAGCAAATCATGGTACATGCGGACGCCTGGCTAGATGAATTGAAAACTTGGCAACCTTGAGTCTTCCACGTAAAGCCGTCTTGGACGAATAGACAGTGGATGCGTTGACTCCACGTACTATGTCACTACTATTGGATGCCCCAAAGTTGAGAAAGGATGCAAGAAAAGTAAATGGCATTTGAACATGACCGAGATACTTTCAAAAAGCTCTAAAACTGCCGGAGACGTTAATTTCTACATCAGTGGTGGGTAAATTTAAGTTCATTGTGCCTTGCAGTGATGCCCCATTTTGATCTCTCCGTAAAGACAACTAATGGTGTGCTGAGCCACGAATGCGGACCCCCGACGAAAGTGTCACAATGTGGGAATTCAGGCTTAAGCAGAAAAATCAGTTCTGTGCTCCACCACTCTTAGGTATTTCAGCATGCAACATCTCGCGAATATATGTATAGTCTGTTATAAGGGAAACAATGCTGATTTTGAAACATTACCCCCCATCCTAAGCCCGGCAATGGGGCCGAACTCTAGCCATTTATGAAATGAGCGCAAATGTACAAATATTTTCGCAGTGAATGCAAAGGAAATTGAGTGAAATTAAGTGGAATGAAATGCAAGCCTTTAAAGCCTGTCATCACCCGTCAACTGTTAAGAGGTGGTGCATGAGTAGAATCCATCTGAGTCGGTTCTGCCTGTGGTCAAATGAGAGTTTAACCTAAAGAAGAGCAGTGAAGAGCACAAGAAAGAGAAGCGTAGCATTGGCGGCCTGGACAGGAGTGCCCGATTCCTGATCACATGTAAAATGATTATCTGTTTGCTCCCGAATCTATTCCCCACTAAGACGGAACAGAAGATCGACAAGAAGCATTCGTCAAGCAGAAGTTCGCCATTCAATATTTGAAGTCACTTACATTCTGGCTGCATTAATTGGCATCGATGAAGGTGCACCTCTGTCTTAGCTTTGGTGTGTCTGCGTCCATTATATTTGCCTATTTACCTACTTCCATCTATTCATTAATGTCAAGTGAATTGGACCCCTGAGAGGGACGGGCTATATTCGCCCCCTTCCTATAAAATTTGAAACCAAGCAATCCAGAAGTATACTTCTCATTTCACTCCCATCTTAGGTGCATAATTGTGCGCTCTCTCAAACACATTGTAAAACGCGAAATGTAGGAGTTGCTTTGTGCAAGTGAATTTGATTACTTACATGCTTTACTGTTAGCTGCTTTTGGCTAGCCATTTGTACTGCAATATAAGCACTTTTCATGCATTTTCTCACATGAATTAACTCTTTCCTATACATTATGATTTCCTCTACCTGACTTGAAGGAGAAAAAGACAACTCCCGCTAACAAAAGCTAATCGAAAAGTCGATCATTCCTGTTGGTGCCTAATCATGCAGGTAATTTGAGAACAGTGTGGTATGCAGAAGCTGCCATGAATTCAACACTGCCCTCCAACTCAATGCCACCTCAGGTGCTCTAAGGTATTAAATCACTCTCAAATCAAAGCACATCAAATCGGGTCAGTTCACATGCTCAAATCATGCACACTACAAGGCCTCACGAGGAAACTCATAGTTGAGCGCATTACATCTTTCCTACTTCTGCTCCCGAAAATTGCTCGACTCATATCTGCTAACTGTGGTGTTGACATCCAATGGTCTCTTTTAGACACTACATTTGAGGTGGGGCTTACATATACTTCTCTGTGGTGCGTGGCTGGGTAACACTGATTCCTCTGCAAGAAAATCAGGTTACGGTTCTTTGTCAGGGCGGTCTATCAATGGATTACCAGGTGATGGCTGATGGAGAAAGAAATGGAGCGCATGGTTCTTATCTGATGTTAAGGAGGTAGTGGCCTCTAATTTCACTTCGAAGCAGAAAGTGAAGCAGGTTGTTGATGAACTATTATGTTCTAACTGCACATTTAGTCATGCTAACGCTGTATGAGGGTTACGCAGATGTTGCAATGGGTGCATCAATTTAACAGACGACCATATAAATGACCCTGGATAATCCGGAAACAAAGAAAACCTCCTATCAACTGCGCGATTGCAATTAATTCGACGGATAGTGCTACCATAGAAAAAAATTAATTTTGAGCCTTCGTCGGTTCTTCCATCTGACTTCGAATTCAGAGTCTTCTATCGAGGAAGTGGTGTATTGGTTAAAAAGGCTTATTATGCAGCTGGCGAAATATTGTGGTAAGTGAGAAAGAGTCCTCTTCGTAGACTAGCAACATTGACTCCTTCACAGGGTAGCCGAAAGGTTTAGTACCTCTGGAGTCAATTCAGAATTCAAAGTGATCCGAAGTTAAAAATGAGCAAACACATAAATAAGGCAAATGGTCGAAGTTTAAGCAAATAACTCAGCTCCATTTGACATGCTTGACGAGCTGAACAGATTGTCAGACCCAATGTGGCATCAGAAAAGAGGAGGCGTTTTGTTTTACTTGGTGTTATAGTGATAGTTTATGTGATGTGAACAGTGAGAGTGATCGAATGGATTGGCACACAACACGAATCTATGAAATGTCTCAGTCCCTAGACCCAATCAGAGTACTGTCATGTTGAAGAGTGTTTAGGTGTAAAAAACCCCAGTAATTGCCTTAGAGGTGAGACCTCGATCCTACTGCAGCATAAACCAGTAGACGCACTAAACCTTAGTCTGCTCTACAAATTGGGGATTGGGGGCAATACATTGCCTACCACTGCATTCTTCCAACCCCTCTCTGCTTTCACCGTAGCGCAATGGGGTAATGACTCCACATTCTCTTTCAATCCGCGAAGAAGTTTTATAAAGGCTTAATATTGGAAAGTGAAACAAATCCAGTCGAAGTAATTGGTTAAGACCACTCGAACAGATGCAATTATACATGCAATGCCAAATCTCATGAGTCGTTAACAATTGGTGTCTTGTAATTTTAGCAACATTGGTGACTCATTTCTATGAGAAAATGGCGGTAGCGACGATGAAGATGTTTGAATGCAGCTTGAGATCCAAGTGTCTCCTCACTGGGACCCTACCAAAATGCAATCAAATTTGCTCTCCATCGACTAACTATCAGCAAGGAAATCCACCATCACTGAACTCTTGTCGATGGAATTACAAAAGGAGTTGCGAAGGGAATAAGTATGGAGTGTGCAGGCTGGCTGTGAATGCAGAATCTAAGCTCCAAATTTGCCATGAAAGAAAAAAGAGGATAGTCGAACCTACATCAAGACAGACAAGGCTGCCTTGTTAAGAAGATCCCGAACTCTCATATTTGCTAATGCACCCTGCAACTCTCGATCGAGCGTGCAGTAGCAACTATGCTGAAGCAGAGACCTGCCAAAAATTCTCAAAATTTACTCAGGCGACATTGATGCTAACGTCATCACAGCTTGTACAGGACTGGGCAGTCCATTCTATAAGTTACCATTTCAATCTCTAGACGTCAGGAAACCACGAGAGATTAGAGAAGTTAACTGATTTCCAAACCATGACAGATGTGAAAAATTTGCTTCAAGCAAGGGAGTGCAAGTACCTACAGTCTTGTTGAAACTGGCCCACTTAATCGAGTCTACTACGCTCATGTACACGCGCATCAAGGAACCAACGAACCAACTTTTTCCGCCCCATCAATTTGCTCGTTTGCTGTCCCTCTGCCAACCCCTTCCTCCGATTCCAGCATTCAAACTCATTTCAAATTTATACCTCCGCTTTGAGTGCTCTTCAAACGAAATCACGGCAGGAGTAAGTCTCACTTCAGCGACGACACGTACTCGTGCAGTGAAGCCCACTTCGGGATTAAATCAGATGGGCAATACCTGACTGCCCACTGCAGAATCCAATCTGCACTTCAAACTACACTGCTATGATGCGATGATTTGTGCATTCCGTATTCTTTTGCCTCCTTCACCTAATAAAACTGAGTTGAACTTTAACCATTGTCCTAACATTGTTCCATTCCCATCACTGGACTTACAATTCCAGCCAGTAGCCTCACTTAGGGAGTTGCACACAACCTCAACTGCTTCATGGCTTACAACAAGGTGTTCTAGGGACTACACGGAAGTGGACACCTCTTAGCTACTTCCAAGCTCCATCGCGCTGTGCTCGATGGTATCACACGAAGGAGGAGAATCGCCTGGTCAGGATAGTTTGCGGAAATTCACCTCACATACTAGTAAGAAATCGCATTCGAAGATATCACATTCATTTTTGCGCTTGTCTACCACACATAAATAAGTCCTGCCTGAGTGCCAAATGTATTACTCAAATTAGGTTGCTGAAGTAAGCAGTCGGTAGTGTTTTAGGGAGTTCATGTTAATTACGTCTGTGTAGACGAATTGCGAAGTACGTTGTAAAGTAAATAATATGGAGTCAAGGAGGAGACATTTAATGTTATTCCTTTCCACAATTGATCCGTACTTTTGATGACCCATTCATATGCAGAGAATAACAACCATTCATAGAGCAAAGTTTTGCCCCCCATTTACCAGTTAGTCATTACGCTTTGGGACAAGTAACCTCAAGCTATGCTTCTAGAACAGTGCATTCCTCGCTTTTGCAATCCTATTTTACTACCTCCTTACTCATTTGCATTTCGTCCATGTGGTCAGTACGTGTACGAACCAAAAACAACGATGGATTCTGCACAGCCTCGATGGGGCCTTATTCGCCAACATTGGTTATTGAACCATCAGTAACTCCATGTACTTTCAAATCGTCTATGTGTTATTCTGGGAGGGAGGTAATTTGTCTCCATCCATTCAGTTGATGTAATTTAACTAGCTACTAAGATTGAACACAGTGAAAATATTAGGTAAGAGGAAAACCCAAGTTGTGTGGCATATTCAAATAAATAGAAGGAGATTTCAAAAGTTCCTCTTGGCCCTTATTCTAAAATAGCCCAACTATGTAAATAATAGCCAAATTATTCCAGCTTACATTGGTGTGAGACAGAAATCCGGCAGTTGTACGTCTGTAGAGTAGATTTTGGTTAATCCTCATCTTATGGGTAACAGTAAATACGCTCATGAATCTGGCAGTAGGGTTGCACACTCTAAGCGACGATAAAAGCGGTGATTCAGATGGTCTGTTTAATTCTGGTTGGGTTGTGGTGTTGACCAGTGACGGGAGGATTGCTGTAAACTGCATTGTTTGAAGATTATCGCACATGAACATGTGGTGCATGTAAAAAGTATCTTTGATGAAGTGTTTCGATCTTGCGCAATCGTTTGTTTTTGTCACCGAATGAGCATTTGCAAATAAATGTTGTGCCTTTTTAAACTGATGATGATGGTGAAAGATTTGTTCTTAGCCCAGACAACAAAATGTAGAATGCACTTTGTTGGAAAGTGCGTTAGTGGGGGTTTAATTCCCGATCTCAGGCAAAAAAGGCTGCACCCACACCTTAAATTAGAAGACAAATCTGCAGAATTATTTGCGCCAAGTTTACGCAATCGCTCACTGCATCAGTAAATCCACCACATCCCCTCACACATCCTCCATATGCACAAAACAAGGAATGAACCCACTAACGTATTCATCGACACCAACTTACATTTTTTCACGCTCTCTCTCAGCCGTACTTAGTCATTATCAGTATTGACTTGATCTTTTCGCACCTTAAGTTTCTAATTATCCTACATGCTCAAGATTTTAAGAGAGGTCTTCACCATCCCTTTGTGATGATGTATAACAATCGACACTACCCACTTTTGATTTGCGAGCTATTTGCAAGAGTGGCTGATCTTGTCTTATACTTAGTGTTAAAGCCTCCATTTCACATGGAAGACAGAACACTTTGGAATTCCCCAACTTGCAATAGAAGTGGAAATTCTACTCAGTTGAGCACTCTAATGTCGAACCTAATGATTGAACCATCTGTAGCGTGTTGAGACATGAGGACCTAGACTTGAGCGTTAAAGGCTGGAGTGATTTTCAGAGGTTTTTAGCCATGTGATAGTAGATATCACTTCCTCTTATGTTTCAATGCTATAGCCCCAAATGAAGAGGATTTTAAGCAGGAATTGTTATATTTACGTCAACGCCTACTGTGTTGATCCACTCATCGGGTGATCTACGTGACCCCCAAACAGATTTTGCATTGAAGCTTGTGTCATCGAGGCTTAACCATCGTCAAACACTCTCTTCTTCACCTTGTCACTCATGGTGAGCCCACGGTCTTCTCCAAGTCCTCTGTTGCAAGGTATGATACGGTTTTGAGAGACTCTGCACTCCCACTCGAGAAGAGGGCTTGAACTGGGTGCAGTTTTCAATTCAATCCTTCGGGTTTCCCCCTCTCTACCCAGACTATGAGATTTTTAAATCCTAATCGAATGAGTTTAAACTGTACAATAATTTGAATTGCTATCAGGTATTATTGGTATTATTGTGTATCATATTGTTTAAAAACACCCACCTTCCTAGCGTGCTAGATGATTAAATTTAGTTTGGTAAGTAGGCTTCAAATAAACACACTTCTCTACATATGATACACGAGTGGCTTAATGGTTTAACTAGCTTTTGATTTGAATCATTACTTTACATCAAGCAGAATTTGTTTACAATTTGTCAACAATCAGGTATCATCGTGCTGGTGAACAGATTGCATTGAACAATTTGTTTTGCCAAATGGGTGGCAAAAGTATGTGGCTCAAGAAGGCTTGTCACCTACTGACTATATGAATTCAACTTCATCCAAAGTGGTCGACACATGTGCGTTCGATTCGCAATCCAGTTTTCAATCACCGGCGTGCAAACTCTTAATGCAATTCTTTCCTCTAACCATTCCCAACATCCTGTCTCCTCATAGCGTTAGTATGGGGTAAACTCACCATTCACAAAAAGTACACTCTGGGTACCTCCAACCACAGATTGGCGTTACTTCTATATTTTATGAAAACCTTAGCTGTTTGCTAATTGCTGAGCATTCGAATGAGGTGAGGGCCGTGCTCTTGCTTACCCACTTCCTCTCTTCTGATCTGCTAACAAGAAACAGAGATGAATAACCATCAGTATGTCGACAACCACTCGAAAGCGAATTAGAAGTCCACAGGCCGATGATCACGGTGAATCGTTCGCTCTCATTGCGTGAAAACGAAACCACTGACTCGGACTCGGGTCTCACCTCACACTCAAATTCAGATCCTAACACGGATTGGAATTCGCACTCAGGCGAACTTCATTATATAGCCGTGTGATACAAGTGTACATATGTATACAAGGCAGCCCATGAAAATGCGCCAGTAATCTTCTTATCTCCAATTTCTTGACCACACTTATCGGCTGATTAAAAGACTAGAGTGCCTCACATGACGGACCAAAGCACATTGCCCAATGGGAGTTAAATCGAGTGGACTGAGTGCATAATGGCTGCAACAGGGGTGTTGCCACCACTAAAAGGAAGAAATGAAGTTACGTGGAAAAAGCACCAAAGGGTAAAAGAGAAGAAGAGGGCAGTTGATGCTTTCACACCACTAACCGGTTCCTCCTCCTTTCTCCTCCTCCTTCGCCACCATCGTGACCAATACTTTGTCGTCAACCGAAGTTGCCTTTACCGCTACCCACTTGAAAGAGGCATTATTAAATTTGACCAATTAGTCTACCACTTGCTTTGCAGTCTAAAGCTTTCAAGATGCACTTTTAACCTCTAAGTGGAAAAGTGGTACGTGTCTACAATTGTAGAGAAGGCGACCAACAGAGCGGAGAGCACCACTGTCGAAGTGTCATCAGAGCATACTTCAATGCATTCTAGGAGCGGCGACATGCCATCTTCTTCATTTGACCTTTTCAACATGGCATCAACCTCAAACTTCAATACATACAATAAGTTATTTCAGCTTCAGGTATTGCGAAAACAGCAGTGATGTGTTCGGTGGTCAGTGGGCCTGTGTTGTGAGTAATGCAATCTCTGGTCCAAAACCCGACACATCGGTTATCGTTGAGTGGGCTGAGGCGATGCGGCTCTTAAGTTACGAGTCCGAAGGCATTCGAGCGACCTAAGGTCGCCTATGAGGAAGAAAACGAAGCTACCACAATGGTTTGCCATCGCTGAAAGCACTTCCGAACTATAAATCGCGTTTGGTGTGTAATTTCCACAGCAACTACGTTCAGATTATGAAAGTCCTTCAAACGTTGATGAGACTCTGTTGTTCTTTAAACACCCACCCACTCATGGTAGAGGCCTCTCGTCCAAAGTGCGTGAAATACTTTAGGTCAGAACATTAGCTAAAGCTGTCAGTTATTCTTTCCTCTGGGCTAAAGCTGACCTGCATCATTACACTGATGAATCTAATTTAATTAGGCCAAAACCCCTTTACTTGCCCTCCTCTCCCTCACCCAGGCTCAAGTGTCCATGCACCAGCTGATGTAATTGTCCTTAATTCTATTGCGCCACCATCCAAATTGTCTTGGGGTGTTAAAATCAAACAATTCTCTGAATGATCGCCGGTTACGCAAGTATCACTGATGCCGCAGTCTCTACACAGACTACGCCACTGACTTAATAAATGTTGATAAAAGGCACTTATTTCTCATTTTATAATATGTGTTTATGGTTATGTTAAAATCAACAAAAGTTTAAAGACAGATCAGAGTGG